CCCCAAAACCCCAAAACCCCAAAACCCCACGCACAGTCATAATATTGAAAATGGTATAGTTCTAGTTAAGGGAGTAGAAATATGAATTTGGGTAAGGTTAATTTCTGTGAATTATTTTAACGGCGCTAAGTTGGCTTTCTTTAAGGATTTGTTCGGTTTTGGTGTAGGTTAATCCGCAGTATATGAGATTTATCTCTTTGAGATTTGATCTTAGGTCTGGAGAACTTGATAATCCTTGTATTAGGTTTTTGAATTGGTCAGAGTTGTGCTTCCAGTCACTTCAATTAGGGAGTCCTGATCCTCCTAAACCTAGTTTCTGGATTTGGCAGTTTATAAGAGTCTTTGAAAAATTAGGAATACTTGGAGTAGATATAATGCAATAAAATAATCTCAGCTCTCCTACATGCTTGCAAGCGACCACCAGTCTCTTTAATTGGGGGAGGCCAATGCAGAAAGAAGAAAATGAGACTAGTTGGCAGACTTTAGAACTGAGTCTGATCAGGGAGCTTAAGTAATTTGGCCTACTCAGATTCATTTTAGTCCTGGATTCAAAATAGACCTCATTAGTTTTATTTGGAAATGAGGATTCTAAAAATTCTACAAAGTGCCTAATTTTAGACCCAAGATTATAGAAAACAATCTCATTTATATCGAATAACTTGAGATCCTTCAACCTTTGTGAAAGCTTCACATATAGAAGATCGTTAAAATCAATGTGAAGTTGACTATTTTCTGAATCTATCTTAGAGGTTGAATCCAATGGTTCAATTTCTTCGTCTGGATCAATCCCATAGAAAATGGTCTGGCATCTAGAGATGTCTTGCTTCTTGACTTTGGCCAGGTTATGCTTCTCTAGGCTGCACAATTAGAGATGAACGAAGAGGAGAGTTCTTGTCAGAGTTTGCCAGAAAGTTTTAATTCAATTCATGATAGTGGCTTAATTTGAATATTGATAAGTTTGTAGTTTAAGTATTTAGAAGTAAACCCAATTTATTGAGATAATAGTTAAGTTTTGCAGAGATAATGTTTCCAAACTCTCCTTAGTATAAGCCGTAGCTTCTTGTTAAAGAAATTTTGGATGCAATTACTTTAAAAATTAATGAATTTTAGTTCCAACATTAAAATTTTTGAACTTGTCCCAAATTAGAGGATAAAAATTTAGAACACTCTAAAATTAAAGTCTCGACTACCTGATTACTTCTGCGTTCCCTTCTTCAATAACTTTAGTAATGCTTTCCATTTTATTATTATATCAATTTTATTTTTATTTTCAATATGTTTGTAGAGGAGTGGGGTTTTGGGGTTTTGGGGTTTTGGGG